TCTTTACTGCATTGGAAAATCCTTTTAAACATCTTGACACGGAATACAAGCGATTTAAATATTTTGAAAATTCTAATTATTTCATTAAACCTGAACAGTTTTTGATAGGCTCAGTTCCAGAAACACATAGAAAAAATCAAACAATTTCAGTGGGTTTAAAACAGAAAGTTGGGTATTTTGTACCTATCAGAGCACAATTGAAAGTATTACTAGAAACTCTTGGACTTTATACATTGATGACAGAGTATAGAGAAAAAGTTCTCAAAGAGAAACTTTCAGAAGATTCTTTTAAATGTAATATAATGCAAGGTGATTTGTGGCAAATGTATTTAAATAAAGTGAAACATAAAAATGTGTTTCCTCTCATAATATATTTTGATGAATTCGAAACTTGTAATCCTTTGGGAAGTCATGCTGGTGTTTATAAGCAGGGTGCAGTTTATTTTTCCATAGCTTCCTTGCCTCAGCAGTATACCACTAGATTAGAAAATATATTTTTAGTAATGTTATTTCATAGTGATGATCGTATCACATTCGGCAATAAGGCAGTGTTTGATATCCTCATTAATGAATTGAAATATTTGGAAGATAAAGGTATCGCTATCAATTGCAACGGTAATGTGGAACAGGTTTATTTCTCAATGGTATTATTAATTGGTGATAATTTGGGATTACACTCCTTATATGGACTTGTGGAGTCATTTCAGGCTAATTTCTATTGCAGATTTTGTAAATGTCACAAGCATGATATGAAAAAATTATGTAAAGAAGAACAGACACTTTTGAGAACTGTAGATGAATATGATGAAATGGTTCTGGAGAAGTCGTATGGTATTAAGGAAAAATGTGTATTTCATGATTTACCAAATTTCCATATATTTAATAACCTGACATGTGATATAATGCATGACTTATCTGAAGGTGTTCATCGATATGGCTTAGCTAAAGTAATAGAAAGTCTCATTAGTCAAAATTTTTTTAGTCTAGATTATTTAAACCAGAGGATACAATTTTTCAATTATAATTCATCCGAAAAAAATAAGCCCCCTCCACTAAAAGCCAATCACATAAAAGAGGGATGTATAATTTTATCATCTTCTGAAATGATGTGTTTGGTTTTGAACTTGAGACTCATTGTAGGAGATTTAGTTCCAGAAAATAACGAAGTGTGGGGATATTATCTATTATTATTGGAAATAACAGAAATAGTAATCGCTAGTTCAATTTCAAGTCCCACAATAGAATTACTCAAATCTTTAATAGAACAACATAATCACCTATATGTTCATCTTTTTAAAGATAATTTAAAACCAAAATTCCACTTTTTACTTCATTATCCTAGAATTATTAGCAAAGTCGGTCCACTGTGTAATATACAAACAATCAGATTTGAAGC